ACTTATCTCTCTCCTCGACCCCTTTTCCCTCAATTCAGAAAATACCCTCAATCGGATGACTTCCTTGCGTCTTCCTCCAGTGGGGTCTTCCGCTCCACCACGATGACATCTGTTGCCAGACTGTGTGACTCGGCTCTAGGAGATTCATCTCTCGAGACTGCTTCAATTTCTGTAGAAGAGGTGGCGATGTTAGAGGTATTCTGTAAAAGCTCGTTTTGCATATTCTATGAATTCCATTTTGATCTGCCAATCATGTTTTAGTCTTAGTACAACAAGTAATGAATATATATGCCCCCTCTTGGAAAAAGACTGTAGTGTAATCTGGATTCGGTTTGTGTTTAACTAAAGGTTTACACTAGTACTTATGATAAGTATTGAACATGACCGCAGAAGGATAAGATTATGAGACTCACTGATCGTAGTTGTAATCTAGACTTTCGGTAATTGATGCGTTCTCTAAAACCGTAAGATAATATAAAACGGGCATATATATTCATTACTTGTTTATTTGATTTACTAAGGGTGATTCCTATTCTGTTATGATGACATACTCGGTACTTTGGTAAATAAGGGTGTTTATATGATGTGTTGTTATAAATTATTTATGGTCACTATGTCCCAGTGCGCTGGGTTGATGACGTCCCCGAGAGGAGCTCAGTAAGGAATATTATATCAAACCCTGCAAGTGGATGTGTATCCGACATAATGGTTAAAGATCTGAGTGGTACTAGTTTCGAAAATGAATAAAAAGTTGATTAATTATTTTATCAGTAATTTAATTAATCTACGGACGTTATATCTTAAATATATGGAGGTAAATCGGTCAATTAGATTAATATTAATTAATCAAGTGGATGTTCGAACTTATTGAATTGCTAAATGGGGAGAGCAATAATATTACTCTAGTAGAATGTTTTATTATTTGATTCTATTTAAGAATTAGGAATCAAGTATATTCCATAATTAAGATTCTCTAAGTAGAAAAATATTCCTTTTAGAATATTACCTATGGTTAGGAGACTATGGAGTCTTCTAGAAGATAATTAGGGTTAGGAAGAATACTATCCTAGATGGGAAAGGATATGGAATATGATTATGATTCCTAAACCTAATGAGATAAGTCTATATTTAGCACTTTCTTAAGGACCCTAATGTAGCCTATAAATACACCGTGTCCCAACCTCTTCTTATACACACTGATACACAATTTTAAGGTCTTCTAAGAGAGAGGAAAATCGAGCATCATAAAATATTGAGTGTTCGGGAAATCCAGAAAATTTTCTACCGAGATTTTTTAGAATAAGTGTTTAGGTAATACGTTAGAAGGCTTTTGGGTAATATTTATTCGAGCCTTTTATACATATATATTCCGGCATCCTCAGCCGCCGTCCGCTGCCACCGCCGTGAGTCGCCGGAAGCCACCATCCACCTCTCATCGCTGCCAGATCGCAGTCGCGCCCAGCCACACACAGCCGCGAGCCAACGCCCGCAGCCGCACGCCGCCCAGATGCAACTGCGAGCACCCAGCGACGCCTGTCACAATCGTACGCCGTTGCCCGTGATCCTCGCCCTTCTGCTCTCCTGCGCGTGTCCTCAGCCGCCTGTGTCTCTCGCCCGCGTCCTAGTCCTCGCAGGGGTAGGAGTCCCACAATCGCATGCACCCGGGTAAACCGCCAGCCGCTCGCGCACGCTAGCACTTTGTGCGCGTGTCAGCCAGCGCCAGTAGCCAGCCGGCACGCACGCCCAATGAGCCCCACACACCGACGTCGTTTGCCCAGCGTCTGACGTGCCCTATCTGCGAGCCGCACCTGACCAGCAGACGTCAGCCTTGAGCCGCTGCTGCCCAGCCGCGACCCGATCTAGCCCAGCCCAGTCCGACCGGCCCGAGCTCGATGAGCCCTTGTCCTGGTGATCCGTTCATGACCCAACGACCCGATTATGATCAAAGAGGCCTAGTCCAGCTGTCCAAAAGACTCTGTGGTTTAGACGATCTCCTACAGAGGAAATCAGAAATGTGTCAGAGTCGGCAAAAAATTTAAAAGGTAATATCATAATTCTAACTATAGATTCCACTGCGTTAGGATTTATTTTGATAAGTTCAAACTGTGCATATCGTTGACGTTATAGTAGAACCAAACAGTCAGTTCTTTCCCCGAATGGTCTTCCCCGTTTTCAAGTCGCCATGGCGGGGTTGAGATCCAATGATTCACATATGTCCTTGCAGTGGCAGGCTTTTGGTGATTTTGCGGGTGTCGACTGTGGCTCGAACCCCTTTTGTGGTGGTCGGAGCTGAGGTCAGAGTCTGATTTTCCCCCGTTTCCCTTTCTTCCTTGGTGTTAGGATGAGGGGATGCGCTGGCGAGATCGAGTTGTGTTTCGGTTCGTGTTTTGGGCCCAGGTCGTTTATGGTGTTGGGGGTGGAGTTTGGTCTGATGGTCGTCCACTTGGGTGAAAGGTAGGGTTTGTTGGTTTCAAATCTAATTAGGCGTAGTTGTCCTGCAATTTTTGGATCTGTGACTAGGGTCGTGTATGGGTGGTCTTCCTCGAATATTGGTGTCGTGGTTTAGTTTGCAGCAACTTGCAGACTGTGTAAAGAGTTTTATTCTAGTATCTAACGTGTTTAGTTTCTGTTCGTTTGTGATTGTTTTCGTGTTGGTGTTCTATACTCCCATTTGGGAGTTAGTGTTCTCTAATAATGGGAGTTTAATATTATTGTTTTTTAGTTTTTTTAGTCTTATGGGTGCGTTTAGTGTAGTAGTTTCTATGCTACAGTCGTCAGACTTGTACGTCTGCCTCTGAATTCAACTGTTGACTGCTTCAATAGGCTAATTAACGCTTGTAAATATGTATTTTATTAATGAATTTTGTCATTACAAAAAAAAAAATAATAAAATAAGTTACAAGAAAATTTACGTATGGGTTTTCTTAGGACTTCAATTTATTTATTTATTTATTTATTTTTGTCGCTTATTATGTCATTTGCTGTTTGTCCTTTAACTTTTCCCATTTCTAAATTTTCCATTTCAAATGGGCTGGACTTTTTTCCTTTGTTGTGATGTCCGTGAAGAATTTTTTGTTGTTCTACAACACAACCACTACTTGTCTTGTTATGGAACGAAATGAAAAACTAAGAGAAAATTAAACTCTAACTACATTAATATTAATGCATATCTCTTCGTTCAATAGTCCACTTTTAGAGACCGTTTCACTTTAATTTTTACATGCGACCTAGAAAGAATTTATTCAGGCAACATTCCGTAGACGTAATAGCAAATATCAATGAAATATATTAATTCGTATAGTCGACAATCAAATATTCCAAATTAAATAATGTGGAATGGCAAAACATATTAACAAATTCATAAAACAAAGTTAACATCGTAACTATAAGCGTGCATTGTGCCAGACTTCAGAAAATAAATCTAAGCATAATATAAAAGGGGACGGTAACAACTAAATTCAATCATAAAGTATTTCAGTCTCACATTTTTACAATTTTTACTATTAGGGATCCGCGACAACAAAGTACTGTTTATAATACAGAACAATTTTTCTTGTAAAGAATAATATAATCTAGTGAATTCGAATGGATTTTTTTCATTTCAATAATTGAAGCTTGTATGTTAGTAATGCATATAAACGGGCAATAGCACATATTTTTGTAATGTGATGCCAAAAAATACTTTCACATGGTGCAAGCTGGGGAGTCACGGGTGTCTCCACCTCTCCCATGCCATTGGTGGTGGAAAGTGCAATTACATAGGCCGATGGTCCTACACCAAATTTATCATCTTCTTACAACTTACCGGTCCCATTCAGGGACATTTTGGTCAAATTTAGCTGCGAGCATTATGCTCTTTCTTTCTTCCTCATAACACATGCAGTCTTGATCTGTCCTTTTGATGACAAAATCATAGAATATTCAAGCAGCCGTGTTCATGTACTCATATTATTGAAGTATTATTTTTTTTTTTTTTACTATCTGAGAAATAAAATTTAATGGGCATTTAAGGATTTCATTTAAGAAGAATTTGGATCCATCAGGAATCCTTCAAAATCTGTGAACAATATAATAATAATAATAATAATGAAAAGAAATGAATAAAAATAGGAACTCTGATCCATTATCTACAAGCAAGTTCAATGGACATATTAACACGATCTTCTCAATCCAATAATAATCAAAATGAAGCTTCTCGCATGTCCAGCTACTTGGGAGCTGAAATTATCAGAAGGGCAAAAGACACTGACAACATTTCTAAACCTGTCAAAATGTAGGTTTCCTGATTGATCAGTGCGACAAGGGTGTTTATGTACATAAAACTATTTACATGCCCTTTTTCTACATTGCCTACAAAATGGAGACAATTAGACTTAAATGTAAAATAAGGTATATGGTTTTTGTGAACTTTCCAATCTGCACATCCCACTGGATATCTTTTGTGTCCTAACATCTTTTTGGTGAATGAGAGTTAAAGTATGGGTGGCATCACCAAACCGTGCAGTAGAGCAATGAGTAATAGGAAAATAGGTTGGACAATAAATCGGCCACCGTCAGACAGAGAGTGGGCTCCAACAAGATGTACGGACCCAGTAATCTCATCCTTCAATTTGATACTTGACGAGCCTGACACCACCAAAATTCACAAAAGAGATTATTACAGTCAAAATAGAGGGAGGAGTAGTGATCGGGAGCGAGGTTCTCTCAAAT